ATGAAGGTAATCCATAACTGATATACCGGGTGGGGTTCTATAGCACATAAAGTTTAGAAAGATAGACCCATAGCTTGTTTAATGTAAGCATACCTGGAGTGAAATCGAGTTAATACTCCCGTACGCAGAGGTAGTTCATCGTTTGTTTGGATGAGTTCCGAGATCATGTTCGCAATTAAAATAACCATATCTTCAACTTCGCACAACTCATATCTAAGTGGTAATACCTTCACCTGTGTCTGGGCGGGCCTTGGCCGCTTTGGAGGAAGAATCTGGCTCTTATCTGCTGTATGGCTGCCGCTAATATCAAATGGCACTGATTGGCGCCGCTTCATTGTTGGAGATTCTGCTATCGGTGCTGGTTTCGATGGATGTCTATCATGCAATGTCTCAACTGCAGTAGATGTTGATGCGGTCACTGAAAGTTGTGACTTTGAGTCTTCATTCTCAAGCTCTGGTAGAATCTTCTTTGAATCATCTACATTCATCTTCGGACTCATGGGGGACCACTGAGTGCTGGCATCCACTCCCACATATTGTGTCGTCCGGGGCGAAGGTTTTGCGATCCTGGAGTGCTGCGAGGCGCAAGTGGGGCAGATCGATAATCGCGGAGATAGGTGGGCATAATGGATCGTGGGAGATGGTGCTGTAGACGATCGATGTTGACTCAACGGCGACTTCAACATGGTCCTGAAAAGTTTGGAGTCATGGTCAGGCAATGATGCGATCTCGGGGAGTGGGGTATCTGGATGTAAAATGTTCGATGCTTGCTTGAAGGGACTGGACGACCGGAGTCAGAGGAAGGAGATATTAAGATCTCAACTGTTGTTGGGGACCGAGTAATGAGGTATGGTAAGATGAGGGAGAAGTCGAGAGAAGATTGTAAGATGTTGTAATGTGGGTTTGCGCAAGTGTTTCTGCGGAGCAAATCAAGAAACACGCTTGGCCAGAGGCGAAAGCTACTGGCAGCTTGGGAGTTTTTAGCATTTTCAGGCTCCTATTTTCATTCTTTTAGTCATAGCAATGGTCAAGTTTGATTTTTATTAGCTACTTAAACTCTAGCATCTAATATGAGATGTAGCTTTGTCTGAACACCAGTGAAGTAGATTTAATCATTCTGTTGGCACCCTGGCGCCCTATCAGCGCGGCCCGCACTGGACAATCTGAACGTTCGTTGAACGGAAGCCGGCGAAACCAAGCACCGCCGACGTCGACAATTGATGCAGTAACAGTCGATCAAATTGCATTAGCAGGAAACTAGGTTACAGCGCTTCTCATCATATCCTGCAGGCAAAATCCGTGGATAAATTCAAACATCACATACTCTCCTTATATTAGCTCGTTTTCATAATACATCCTTTCAATCCTCGATCAGGGATTCCTATAGCGACTCTACTGCATTCTCGAATGTGCCTCCCTCTGAGAGGCATCACAAAGATCGTCACCACACTATCACCCTCTAGATTCGTAGGCAGTGTATTACGATGACGAACCAGGAGTGGTTACAGCAACTACGAAGCTCCAGAAGTCCGATTGAGCAGATTGCCGCCTTAAGAGCGATTAAAAACGAAATAATCGGGCATTCAGTCAAGAAGGAAGCGGTCGTATCTCTTGGAGTTCTCGATTCCATCGCGCGAATAAGTTGCAGCAGGACAAACAACAGGGAGAACGGCAAGACACATGGCCATACGTTTGCTTCAAGGTCACTGACCGAGGAGGAGTCAGTTCGACTACAGGGACTGCACATTATAGCGAGCATTGCACTAGGTTTGTGGTTGCTCTCGACTCTTTATTCCATAGTGTACTAATGGTATTTCTAGGGGGCCCGTCGTTTATCGCTGCGCTTCATTCTGCCTCCGTTGTTCCAACCATTCTCTCAAACCTTTGTCCGTCAAATAACCCTCCACTCGTGGTGCTAGCAGCTTTACGAGCCCTTTCCAACCTTGCGGATTCGTTAGCTTTAGCATCGAGCACCCATCCACTCAATACCAACTCTCTTGCAGATACAGTTTTTATCCGTCAACACCTCCAGTCCCTCTGCCATATCTTGTCACAAACCTCATATTCTTCGACAGTACAGTCACAGATTAATACGGCAGCATCACTAATAGGGAAGTTGTGTCGAGAAGAACGCCATCAACAAGGACTGGCCAATTCTGGTGTACTTGATGCTCTTGCTTCGAGACTAGCTTCCTTCGTCGTGGCCGAGGGACTGGTGATCCCAGGTGCTGACATTCTTGCTCAAAAGGATGGCCTCCAAGAATACTTCCCAGCACCTGCTCCTAAAAGCGCGAACTTGGCTGCTATTTTGCAGGCTATTGCAGTCATTATCGAAGACTCAAAACTTCGGGCATCACAGCTTCTTTATTCCCCACCAATCCTTGCTATATTTCCACTGTCTCTACCAGATGAACTTATACCATTATATGGTACTCGCTCTACTTGGAATTCATTCAACAGTGCAAGCGTTAGCTCGCGCCAGAGTCAACTCAACGCTGTAGACTTCCTCTTGCCACTTATTCCTCTCCACCAACTCAAGAACAGTACTGTCCAAGCTACAGCTTTTCCTCCATTGGGCTCATCCGGCTCAAGGGAGCACCTTCCACTTAACAGCCGCTCGGGGGCGAACAATTCCGACACCAGTATAATACCAAGTTGGGGTAGCCCTCTCGGTTTTGAGGTCAGCACAAAGCCACATGCTAGCTCTCTACCGGATACCGAAGAACCAGAGAGTCCATTAATCTCCTATCTAATATACATCATTCGATCCCGAGCTGGTATAGAGAGACTCATGGCAGCTTCTGTGTTAACAATTCTTTACAGGGCTGGCTTAACACACAAATCAAGAGATACCGCGATCACACTTTTGGTGGTGCCTCTACTAGTACACATTCTTGATGATGACCTGGGTAGTCAATCCACAACCAGAGATAATTATGACGACACAGAAGCCACAGCCATTGACTGGACAATCAAAGAACGTGCACCAGCAATCCTAGCAATGCTAATTACCGACAGTGAATATCTCCAGAAAGCTGCTTTTGAAGCAAATGCGGTTAGTAAGCTGTCCAAGATGTTGAAAGTCTCTTATGATCCGGTGCCCGAAGCTGCAAATTTACAATCATGGTCCCCGCAAGGCGATGATGAATCTGAGCCAATGGGATTGAAGCAGCCCTCTCAACCTGACTCCCGCGGGCAATCTCCCCTACTCCTCCACAAAATTTGTGTGCGGGAGAGCACTTTAAAGGCAATTGCTGCTCTTGTTCCTTTCCAGGACGAATATCGAAAAGCGGTGGTAGAGCAAGGTGTAATTCCTTACATAGTAGAATCCATGAGCGCAAGCCCCAGGAAGCCAACTCCTAAGTTGGGAGAGAGGACAGAAAAGGAACTGAATGGATCGAGAGATCAAGACACAAAGACTGCTGGATACGGGGTGAACCCAGTCAGCGTCATGGTTGCAGCCTGTGGCGCTATTCGAGCTCTATCCCGCTCTGTAAGCATCTTGAGAACAACACTTATTGACAACGGAGTCGCCATGCCAGTCTTTAGATTATTGAGACATCCAGATATAGAAGTTCAGATTGCTGCTACAGCCACAGTTTGTAACCTCGTAACAGACGTTAGTCCTATGAGAGAGGTGAGTCCTTCTTGATATCTCGGTGCGCACTTCAACTCATACCATCGCAGGTTATAACTGAAGCCGGAGTCCTGAAAATTCTATGTGAACATGCCCATTCCATGAATGCAAAGCTACGTCTTAACGCTCTATGGGCATTAAAACATTTTGTGCATGCTGTTGGGAATGATATGAAAAGAATGTGCCTTGAAGAACTTGGGCAGGGCTGGCTTGTGCAACTAATAAGTGACGATACTGAGGGCAACAGCGACAAAGCAGTGGATGAAGGCACGATTGAGAGCATGGATGTGGACATGGATATGGACCGAGTAGAAGACAGTTCGCGATCAACCAATGCTGAATTTTCTGGTCATCCTGGCTTATCCAGATCGAGTAGCATTCAGAGCAAGTCGATTCAGCAAGCGGAGTCTCGACTTGCCGCTCTACGAGAAGCAGAACTTAACCCAGCCAGAAAAGCTCGGAAGGATGACATTGCTGTGCAGGAACAGGGCTTGGACTTCATTCGAAATCTAATAGGCGGTGCGGGACAGGGTGGCACTTCAGGCCCGGCGGAAATGATTGACTTTTTATTTAATACTCTGGGACAAGACCGGGTTTTCCAAATATTGACAAATAAGCTCCGACCGAAACCTGTCAACCCCTTCGGTAGACGAGGGACTGTCGGGACGGAAACACGAATCTTACCTCCTCAGTCCGAAATTATTACGGCAGTCGGCTACATTTTGGTCCATATGGCTGCGAGCGAGCCACGCCATCGTCAACTAATTATTGCTCAAACTGAGCTTCTGACGTTACTTGTTCCCCAGTTCAATCATCCGAATATCGAGGTTAGGCTTGCGCTTTGTTGGCTTGTCACCAACCTCACCTGGATGGATGATGCAAGTGACGGACCAGCATGCGCAGCGCGGGCCCATGAGCTTCGCAAGCTTGGATTTCTCACCAAACTAGAGATCCTGGAACAGGAAGATCCCGAGTTAAATGTGAGGGAAAGAGCAAAATCGGCCCTTTGGCAGATGAAAAAGGGGTACTAAGAATCTCAATCTTGGGATGTGTATTGTGATGAGATATGATATGTGATTTATCTCCGGACATGCCATTTCGAGTGGCCATGATTAGAGATATGTATTGTAATGAATAAAGAAGAAGAAAAGGAATGTTGGGTAGGCTTTTCAGGAGCCTTTTATTATATTAATAAAGAGTATATGACCGTATTCTAGCGATACTGGGGTTTATTATCATCGTAATAATCCCATCCCTCGTAGTTCTCTTCCTCGAGTCCAGCCCTAAGGAGTTGATGGATTCAATTTTAGTGGGATCACGGAAGTAGGGTGCATAGGGGCAATTAAGACCCGGCCGGCACAACGGGCATATGGTTTAGTGGTATAATGCTCCCTTAGCACCGTCTCTTCGAGAACAAAATATGGGAGCGGTCCTGGGTTCGATTCCCAGTATGTCCAATAACTTTTCCTTTTTTTTGGTTTTGTGATCAGATTATATATATATATATAAAGTCACATTGATGGCTTCGAGCAAAAGTGTTCAAACAAAGAAGTACTACTTTTCTTTTATGTGTTGGGACTCAACAAAGTTGAGCTCCGTGCCGCAATCGAAAGGCGAGCTTCGTAGGCGGAGGCTACAGTATGAAAATGCCTGTAACCATGTCCGTAGAAGCAACACATTATTACGTGTCTAGCTGATTACTACCCCATGGAGAGTGCCAATTTGAAGTATGGCTCATTACTGTATTATTATTAGCTTACCCCAGAAATGCTTCCTTGAGTACCGATATATGAAAGAGGCTGCGACACGGTGGGATTCGAGTCCGAACCCCAAGATTAAATCCTCTTTCCTCTTCCAGTTTCTGATTATTGTTATAGATAATATTCTGTCAGGCTTACCATGGCCTCGTACTCTGTGTAACACTGCCAGTCCATCGAGTCATCGACATAAATAATGAATGTCATCATCTTCTTTCGTAAAAGGTTCCTACGACCTCTCCCCGCTTATCCTGCAATCGTGGAGTCCTAACGGAACATTTCAAAAGTGAATCCGATTCAGCAGCGTTGTGTTGTGATTATGCATCGCTTTCTTAATAGAGAAAGAGGCATGCAGTCTTGAAGTTGTGAGAATATGTACCAATTAAATAACCAGCTCTCATCTGATCTAGTAAGCCTTATTACTGCACTGCCGACGCGATTGATTAGAGCCAGCAGTTCAATCAAAACAGGCTCGCTGCTACTTTGCGGGGTACGTAGCTCTCACTTCGGCGTCATTTGTGACCAAAAGCATGCTGAGCAGCCATGAGAAACCCCCCGCGACGGTGCGCCAGCGAGCGTGGGAGGTTTGCCAGCGGTTTCTGGAAGAACTGGGAGGAGTGCGAGGAGCGATGTTTGACGTCTCCTTGGGTCAATTTTTAGCTATCGCCGCCGAAGCCGTCAAATCCGATTTAGCCGATCCGGATGACTGTCGTCGTCGTTGAGTGATGCCTCATTCCTCTCGTTGTGCCTCCTCCTGAGTCTTACCACCGGATACTGTTATTTATTCCATCTCCTGGTTGTCCAGCCCGTTGAATATGAATCATATATCCCGTCCTGCGTTCATCCCACCCGTGCTGCAGCCAGGTTTGCTGGCCTGGGGGGTGTGGCTCTCGGTGTCCGATCTCGCGCCCTGGATCGAGAGCAGGCCAGCAAGGGCAGGTGGTGTCCTATTGGCCGGGCAGCCAGTTCCGACCCAAAAAAAAGCAAAGCCATTACCGGTGCATTTGTGTGGTGCAGGTGGGATGCGTCGCTGGGGCGGTCGAAGCTAAAAGGTCAGTCTTACGTCTGGATGGAGCCGCCGATCGGACTTATCAAGCGGCGACCTTGCGTTCTCCAGTTCAGCGCGGCCATGAGCAGAATTCTCACGCACCGTTTATATTGTTGAAACAACAGAGTCACCATCTCAATAGCCTTCTCTCCCTCTCTTGCAGAGATTTCTGGATGGTAGTGGTTTTCAAAGAGCCTCTGGAGACAATGTTGTCGGCAGAGGTTCTGGTTGAGTGTCGGGAGACTGTCCCTCCTACTGGTACGAGCCCATTGTTACATGCACACCCTCCTCTCCGTGCGCTCCACGTGTGGCAGTGATCCAATCATTGAATCCATGATCGCATCCCGGCAGTTCTTGGCTGACTGTTCCCAGCTCATGTTATTAGACGGCAGTCTCAACATTCTGGAATCGCGAAGTCGATAATGATCCATCACCTCTCCGCAGCATCACCTCCCAGCAGTAATATGGTTACGACGGTGAACGGAGACTCTACGCTTTCGAACAAGACCGCCGTCCGTGACGCCGCATCTCATCTTGCCCCTCCTCCGAGCACATCTTTGAGTCGAGCCCTCCAAGTCGCTGGTGTTGCTGGCCATAGCCTTCTTCACGATGGAGTTGGGCATCCGCTCAGTGACACCCCTCTGGGAAGTACACCATCAACTGCCCCTGGCAGTCCGCGAATGTGAGTTACAAGTCTTCTCCAGAGGCGTTGTTTGCTGTGATTGTTCCGCGTCTGCATGCGTCACTGTACCAGTTGTGTCGAACTCTTCCATCATCTGCCTTCTGACATCCAATATAGCCCTCCCATAAGGCAAAACTCAGGTAGCTCTACCCCACGAACGAGGCCGCCTGCGACCACCTTGAATATTCCTGGCATGACTCGATCTAGAGTATCTCCCGATGGCCGGATAGCGCAGCGAGATGTTGCATCAAAACTGGTAGTTATTATGGTTGGTTTGCCGGCGAGAGGGAAGTCTTATATCACGAAAAAGATTCAACGCTATCTATCGTGGCAGCAGCATGAATCTCGAATTTTCAACGTCGGAAATAAACGTCGAGTAGTGGCAAGAGCCGGGCCAGGAAACAGGAACTCCATTGATATGTCGTCGCCTCGTGGCACCGAAAGTCCACGGCAGCTGGACTCAATGGCAGCCGTGATCCATTCTCCAGTGCAGGCAGCTCATATTCTTCTCAATGGTAATGCCGCTATTCAGCCTAGTGAGCCTTCTTCCCCTTATACGCCATCGCACCCCTCATCCGGTAAAACTACGGAAGTTCAAAGCATGGATCAGTCGGCCGAATTCTTTGACCCCATGAATGCAAAGGCTTCTCAGATCCGGACTCAGCTTGCATTGTCAACTTTGGATGAACTTCTGGATTTCTTGCTTGAGCAAGGAGGGTCCGTTGGTATTCTAGATGCAACGAACAGCACTATCGAGCGCCGTCGGCTACTTTTTGACCGTATTAAAGCTCGGGAACCTAAACTTGGCATCCTATTCCTTGAAAGCGTCTGCGAAGATAAGAATGTAGGTTGAGAATTCAATATATTTTGGATTACTGCTAACAACTCATAGCTTCTTGAGGCGAATATGCGACTGAAGCTTTCCGGTCCAGATTACAAAGACAAAGATCCCGTGAAGTCACTTGAAGATTTTAAGAAGCGTGTCGCTGCATATGAGAGTGCATACGTCCCTCTGGGAGCGTATGAAGAAGAGCACCACATGCAATACATTCAAATGATTGACGTAGGTCGGAAAGTGATCCACCACCAATTAAAGGGTTTTATGAGTAGCGGCATATCTTCATACTTGACCACCTTTAATCTTGCACCAAGACAGATCTGGATCACTCGTCATGGAAAATCTGTTGACAATTGCCTTGGCAAGTTGGGCGGTGACTCGGACCTCACACCTACGGGCCGGAGATATGGCAGGGTCTTGTACGAATTCATTACCCATAAACGTAGGGAGTGGCTCGTGGAGCAGAAGAACAAGGCGTTGTCATCGAAATTCCCACCCCAGCCTGGTGACAACACACCACCGTATCCTGAGATACTGGGAGAGTTGGACGAGAAAAACTTTTGCGTGTGGACTTCCATGCTAAAGCGGAGCATTCAGACAGCAGCAGATTTCGAAGAAGATGACGATTATGATGTGAAGAATTGGGAAATGCTGAACGAGCTCAATGCTGGCTCATTCGAAGGCCTGACTTATAAAGAGATCGCAACAAAGTATCCTCAGGAATATGAAAAACGGAAAAAAGACAAGCTTCATTACATCTATCCTGGTGTTGGAGGCGAAGGTTATCTACAGGTGATCAGCCGTCTCCGGGATATGGTTAGAGAAATTGAACGCATCACGGATCATGTTCTCATTGTGGGCCATCGGTCAGTAGCCCGAGTTCTCATGGCATATTTCATGGATTTGACGCGAGATGATATTGCCGATCTTGATGTCCCTCTTGGCATGCTCTATGTCATCGAGCCCAAGCCTTATGGCATGGAATTTCACGCTTATAAATATAATGAAGAGAAAAGCTGGTTTGACGAATTACCAGGCTATAAGCCTTCGAAGGAGACGGAGAAGGAAAACTAAGCGGACTATCTGTTTCGGTTTGTATGTAATATATATGTTATATGGAAATTGGCGTTCATGGATTTTTTACGGTTGGTAGTGGTAACGGCAGCTCAATGGTTATGGTTATAACAATCGCTGGTAGGGTGGGAATGATTTGCATAGCGTGGACTGCCCCGGAGTTCTGTAATGGTTGCTGTCCAAACTAGGATGATGGAAACATTTTTTGTCTGTGATAACGGTTAGTTGCATAGAATTTTGGGAATACATTTCGATCTTTTCAACAAAGCCACTGGAACCTCACACAAAGTGTATTTGTTCCGAGCTTAGCTTTGAATTATGTGACTATTTGTAAGATTATCGGGTAGAGAGGTACGAGGCGCATGGTGCAGCGTGCTTGTATTTTGGCTGTGTCATCAAACAGAGTAATCCTGCCGTAGATAGATCGGACGACTTCATGTTAGACGTGGAGAAGCTACGCAAATCTAACTGTAACGTCAAGGTTCGGGGTACCTTTGTCTACTGCACGCAACCGAGATTTTGTGCAAAACAGGTACCGTATCCCTCCATCACTTCTTTTAGATCGATTTTTACGAGTTATGGCAACACAGTGATCTGGCTTGCTCATACCAACCAACGTCTATTGTGGGCGACAAAGTTATTACAGTGCTGTCCAGCTTCACGACTCTCTTTATCCCGTGTTAACTCGTGCGACAAAATGACGAACAATGTCTGAGCCTTGCTAGCCAGCCTTGTAGGTTACAAGTCCTTTGCTCTATTACACAACAAAAGGATGCTAGATTATTATGACCTAAATGATATAAGACATACTCTGATGTTTGAATAATTTAAAGGGCAGTGTTGTGACCTTCACAATATCTCGGCCCTATAGTTTCGGTCCATTGTCTATGCAACTTCTGCACGCCTGCAAACCTCTCGCCTCTTACCACAAATCAAAAGCTTCTCTTGGTAAAAATAACTTCCTACTCTTTCAGCGGCTCATCAAATTTATGTACGAGTCAAAAAAACGAAAGGCAAGCGGAATGGCATCTAAATACTATGCTGTAAGGACCGGACAT